CCGGAAGCGTGAAGGTCTGGCGGATGCCTCGTGCACGACAGTAGGCTCGCAGAAGGCCAGAGGAGAACTCTCCACCTCTGTCAGAGTGCAGACGCAGAACAGGAAAGTCCGAGCCGAAGCTCTGCCTGAGCTGGAGACGAGCTGCGCGGATCCAGTCGATCAACACCTCAGTGACATCACCCTTGCTGCGCAAGGGGAAGACTGTGGTGTAACGCGAGTAGTCGTCAACCACCAGCAGGAAGTAGCGCTCGTGACCCTGTCCACGGACGCGGGTCGGGCCCCACACGTCCATGTGAAGCGTCTGCAGCGGGGCCTCTGTCGGAGGAAACTGGGAGGAGTGAGGGGCAGCCCGCTACCGCCCCTCGACACAGGGGACGCAGGTAGGGCCAGGCCCCGGAGGAAGGGGAGGGAGGGACCGGGGAAGACCAGAGACAAGGACACGGGAGGCCATGCCTCGGAGACGAAGCAGGGAGGGGTGACCAAGGCGGTGGTGCCAGAGGAGAGTCTCGTGAGACAGGAGGCGACACGAACAGGGGGCAGACTCAGGACCAGACCTGGACGCTGCAGCAAACACCTGACCCGACGCAGCTACCTGACCAGACGCAGTGACTGGAGGAGACGCAGTGGTCAGGGTGTACAGGCTCGACCCCGGCCGACGGGTAAACGTGGCCAGGTGTCGGCCAGTCCGAGCGTCCGTGCAGTGGGTCACCCGCTGACTCGCAGGAGTGAACTGGTGAACCCCCGCATCCTGTAGGTCAGCACCACTCACCAAGTTCGTAGAGAACGAGGGGAGGTAAAGACCAGACAGGGTGCCAGAGGGGGCCGCCGGACACGGGAGGACAGTGGAGAAGTGAGCAAGGACAGGACCCCCAGAGGGGTCTGCCAGAGAGACCGCAACTGGCCGGCCAAGTGGCGTGAGTGTGGTGCGGTCTCGAAAGAAGGAGCGAGAAGCCCCCGAGTCAAGGGTGAAGGTGTGGGAGGCCGAAGCCGACGCAGAACCTGAGAGAGCAGACTCACCAGCACCTGAGGAAGCAGACGCACCTAGAGCAGCAGCCTCGCTAGCACCTAGAGCAGCAGCCTCACCAGTACCTAGAGCAGCAGTCTCAATGCCCGGGTCGGGCGGAAAACACCGGTAACAGTCACCCTCATCACTAATAGTCACAGTATACATGGCAGCAAGAATAGCATCAAAGTCAAGGTCAAAGACAGCGACACCCGCCCTAGACAGCTCACCCCAGCGGGGGATCTCAGTGGCCTCAGGGAACTGGTGACGCCAAGCGTCCGTCAGGCGGCCAAAGCAGCGCTGGGTGGAGTGCGCACCCCCGCACTGGTCACCCGCGCGGTCGCCGGTGCGGAGGACGTAGGTGCACGGACCAGTACCCCCACCCCGCTGGCGTGCAGTGTACCACTCACGGAGCTGCTGAGGGGGGGGGATGTCACGAGTGCGCTGCTGCTGCTGCTGCTGCTGCTGGCGCTGACCACCACCGGAGCCGGCCCTCTGCGCAGCTCCACCCCGACCAGCTCCACCTCCTCCGCCGCCGCCTCCTCCACCGCCGCCACCTCCACTCCCACCGCCACCGCCGCCGCCGCCTCCGCCTCCACCGCCGCCACCGACACCTCCACCCCCACCACCACCCCCACCGCCACCCCCACCCCCTCCACTGCCTCCACCGCCGCCTCCACCGCCCCCGCTAGCCCCTCCAGTGCCCCTGCCCCCCTTGCCCTTGCCAGGGCGGCGTCTCCCGCTAGGGGTAGACGCCGCACCGACCGACTCAAGCCCAACGAGGTCGGCCGCAGCAGCAGAGGCAACAGAGGGCAAAAGGGGGGAGGGGGAACACCCCTCAAAGATGGGGGTGCGAGGGTCACCACGAGAGGCTCCTACAGCTACTATGCTCTTCTCTGCTGCTAGGAGGGACTTCTCGAGGAGGTCAACGGTGAGAGTGGTGGGGCAAACTGAGAGGAAGTGGTCCCTGACTACGCGAAGGGAGTCAGGGAGCCGGGTGACTATGTAGTAGAGGGTGATGTACATGGGGGGGGGGTTCTTGGCGCAGAACTCAGCAGGAAGCGCAGCGCGGTAGCGAGTGTCACTAGTGCGGAGGTGCGTAATGAGGTCAGCGACTGTGGGAAAGGCAGCAAGGTCAGGGAAGAGGTACGGTAGCATGAGGCGGCTCAGTGCAGCAGTGGCAGGTGAGGAGTAGCGCGCAAATACAGCGTCGTACAAGGTCTGAGCACTCTTGTACTGGCTAAAGTGCGCACGCTCAGAGGTAGGCAGGTGGCGACGCACAGCAAGACGTGCAGCAGCATCGCGCGTGGCCCACTGTGAGCGAACAGTGGCGTCAGCATCAGCAGCGGGGGCAGGAGAGGCACCAGAAGTGAGGTCAAAGAGGGAGAGGCCGTCTGCTCTGTCGCACTGTAAGAAAAGCTGCAGGTCATCTATCCAGACGTCAATGTCAATGGCCCGACCCTCAGCGTCAAAAGCGAGGACACTAGGGGTAGCCATGACAACAGTAGACTAGCAGCGCAAACAGTAGGGTGAGGGCAGGGCTGTGAAAGAGGCGCTGCTCTTACCGGACAGGGCGGCTCGGGTGGTTCGGCTGCAGGGCGGCTCGGCGGTTCGGCTGCTGGGCGGCTCGGCGGCTCGGCTGCTGGGCGGCTCGGCGGCTCGGCTGCTGGGCGGCTCGGCGGCTCGGCTGTTGGGCGGCTCGGCGGCTCGGCTTCTGGGCGGCTCGGCGGCTGGGCGGCTCGGCTGCTGGGCGGCTCGGCTGCTGGGCGGCTCGGCTGCTGGGCGGCTCGGCGGGGCCGCTGAGAGGGCGGCGTCCGGGGCCGCTGGGAGGAGGCGGCGGGGCCGCGGAGAGGAGGCGGCGGGGCCGCAAAGGTAGGTGGCGGGGCCGCAAAGGTAGGTGGCAGGGCCGCAAAGGTAGGTGGCGGGGCCGCAAAGGTAGGTGGCGGGGCCGCTAGTAGGTGGCGGGGCCGCTAGTAGGTGGCGGGGCCGCAGGTAGGTGGCGGGGCCGCTGGTAGGTGGCGGGGCCGCAGGTAGGTGGCGGGGCCGCTAGTAGGTGGCGGGGCCGCTAGTAGGTGGCGGGGCCGCAGGTAGGTGGCGGGGCCGCTGGTAGGTGGCGGGGCCGCAGGTAGGTGGCGGGGCCAGCACAGGTAGGCGGCGGGGCCGCGGGTAGGTGGCGGGGCCGCTGGTAGGTGGCGGGGCCGCAGGTAGGTGGCGGGGCCGCACAGGTAGGTGGCGGGGCCGCACAGGTAGGTGGCGGGGCCGCTGAGGGCGGCGACGAGCCGTAGGGGGCCGTGAGGGGCCGCGGGAGGGGCCGTAAGGGGCGTAGGGGGCCGCGCGAGGGGCTGTAAGGGACGGCGCGAGGGGCCGTAAGGGGCGGCACGAGGGGCCGTAAGGGCGGCGCGACGGGCGCGACGGGCCGTAAGGGCGGCACGAAGGGCCGTAGGGGCGGCGCGACGAGCCGTGAGAGGGCCGCTAAGGGCGACGCGACGGGGCCGTGAGGGGCCTAGCGAGGGCGCGACGGTAGGAAGAGCACACAGGGCGCGACTCGGGCCGGAGCGAAGCGCGCTCCGGGCAGGAAAAAAAAAATTCGTGGTGGTGGGCCCTAGGAATCGTTCCCACTAGGGAACCTTCTCGATACCATGAGAAGAAACGAGGAATGGGATTGACTAAGGGAAAGTTGGGTACAAATGCAAACCCTAGGAAAACTGTACCCCATATGTGCTACCCCACTATAGCCTACAGTAGTAATGTCATATAAATCTGACACGAACCGCACTAAAACGCATCCAACCACAGTCGAACACACTGAAACGTATTTCACCGCGCGAAGCTGATACGAGGTGTTTCTGATACGAGGTGTAGGAACACGCTCTAAGTCATGTATTTTGGCACCTTGCAGTTGGCTACCATATGTGAGGGGCTACTGCACGGGTTTGTAATGCGTGTAAGCGTCTCTTCTGTTTCTGCTGCTTGGCTGCTCCAGCAGCATATCATCAGTACCCTACTTTTGCAGCCTGTGCATGTTCATGCACTTAGTAGGGCTAGTCATGTAAAGCAGTTTGCTTGTTTTATCATTTTGTGAGTTTCTATTTCATGTGTTTGGATTTGTCTGAAAGCTAGCATGGTGCTGGTCATGCTAGTGATTGAAAGTACGCCCCTGCAAGTGCCACTTTGAATTGAATACCATGAAGAAAGGCAGTTTGTTATAACATTATGCTACATCGGTAATTAGGCGGATGCGTGGTGTAGACCAGTCAGTGTATTACAACGGAAGTCTTGAACAGACGTAAGGTCCATATGCATTCCTAGATGACAATGTGCTGTGGTCTTTAAAAAATAAATCAAAACAGAACTGATGTACCGGTATGTGTTTTGAACCTGTCTAAAATGTACAATCCTTATGGATTTATGTTTATGCTCCTTTTGTTGTGATATGAGTTCTGTACATATTCTTAGTTGTAGTAAATCACCTGCATTCCCACCGGCATTCCCATAGAGGTTCCAGGAAGGTATTTTCAAGGCTGTCCAAGGCGATGCGAGACCAACAATTTTCAAGGTGACGCTAGGCTTATCAAACAATTTTCACTAGTCATTTCATTTTGAAGTCAGTGTCCTCATTGCTGCTCATTCGTTCCAGGACTTGCAACTGCCTTGCGCGTTTCAGTCACCACGCTCACTGCGGCACTATGGTAGGCTTCCTCCATTGGAAAAATATGGTATGGCGTAGGTTTCCTGTCCACCTTGCTTCAACGGTTCTTGTGGCAGGTGGTCGCGCAAGCAGCAAGGACACGCGAGGCGACCCATATTTCCGAGAAAGAGTCTTTGCAACTGACAAGAAACCTATTACGCATTGCTGTCTTCAACATTAGCTATATCCGTGGCCTTTTTCCGGAGAAGTATTTCGACGACAAATATGTTCCCGCTCTGGGTAAGACTTTATCCTTCGGCAAAAAACACAAGGAGTGAATTGAGCATTAGCAACAATTGCTTTCTGCAGAAATGAAGATCAAGAAGCTCATGCCTGTTGACCCAGAGTCGAAGCGTCTAATTGACTGGATGGAACAAGGTGGGAATTCACTGCACTTTCACACGGCGTCATCATTGTAGCAACGAACTAATTTCTGTGCTGAAATTCCAGGTGTCTATGACGCATTACAGAAGAAATATCTGAAGACGATGGTGTTTGCAATATGCGAATCCGATGGAACGTCCCTTTTGGAAGAATATACATGTAAATATGATCGTGGGTTGTTTTCGCTGTTTCTTACGGTTTGTGACCAACACCAAGTAAACTGTTTCTATCCACGCAGTCAACTTCTCGTACGCGTCTCAGACTGGGGATGTGTCTTTGAACATATCGAAGTCCGGAAACAAGGATAAAGACACCACGTTCAAATCCGTTGGCTCGGATGCTACTCCAGCACAAATGAAGTAAGCACTTCTTCTCCTAGTTTCATTCTCCCCCTTTTTCCTTCTATAATGTTCTGGCTAAACTGGTCACTGCATCCACAGAAACTCTGCATGCAAACTGGTTCGGACGCTCGTGCAGCTCATGAGGACACTTGACAACGTTCCAACTGAGGTGTGCCCTATTTGCTACCTGAGGTTCACCTTACTTTATCCCAGTTGAAAACCAAGAACGACACTGACTTCAAATTGATTTCTTTTCTACCAGAGAACTATCATTGTGAAGCTTCTATATCACGAGGATGTCACGGTAAGCTCTGGGTTATGAGCTGAGGTCCTAGTATTTCTCTGAGTTGGTGACAATGCAGCCTGAAGACTATGAACCGCCGTTTTTCCGAAGCTGTGGCGACAAGGAAAAGTTGAACTGGTCTATTACGCCTCTGAAGATGAAAGTTGGTGATGTTGACAGCAAGCACTATTCGATAGCCCTGAAAGTGAGTAATCATTTGGTTTGTTTTGTTTTGTTCCGCCTTTTTCCCCTTTTCTTCTGCAAAAGTTCACGATTCTTGTTGTCGACCGTTCAGGTACGGAGTGTTCTTGATCCATGTGATAATCATGAGGAGCAGCAGGGCAGTCAAAGTAATGGAACAGAAACTTCGGGCCAGTCATCAGAATCCGAAGAAGACGAAAATGGTTCTGGGAAAAAGGTCAGCAGGCTCTAGATTCATTCAATTCAACTGTCCTATTCGTCCTTTTGAAGGATGTTCCATGTCTGCCAGGAGGGAAGCATCAGAGACGCAGGCGACCTTCCAGGGAAGAAGCAAGATGACGAGACCTGTGCGTGGAGACCTTTTTGTTATGTGTTTATTCGAATAAAACGTCGCAAACTTACCGACTCTTCTATATGTGCAGCTAAGCTGTTGAGCACTTCTCCGACTGCGTCTCTAAGTCTTATCAGGTCGTGGATTCTATCAAGGCCAACGATTACCGTTGATGTCATGGATGTGTTTGCCAACTTTCCGGATGCATCTCTGGTGGGTATCACGTGGTTTGGTTAATTTGGAGTTCGGTTTTGAAATTCGACTGCTAACTTCTGGTTGTTGCATTTACAGGTCTCCATTGAAGGTATGCGAGACAATATGCAGCTTGCAGAAATTCATGCAAATTAATGGGGGTTTTCTTTCCAGAAATCATGGACCAGCTTGTTGGCGAAGGAAAATTAAAAGCTGTGAACGCAGACCTTTACTCCATAGTCCATGGAGATGTGGTTGGCCAGGTGAGAACCAAACACCATGTTTTAATCGCTCACCTTTGGCACAAATCTTAGTTTTTTCTTCGGTTTCAGGAAGAACCCATCCTGAAGAATCAAAGCTCTCCACTTCAAAAAGCATCAGATGCCTGTGAATCGGATGAGCACACTGCGATGTATCTCAAGGTGAAGTGTGCATTTGCTTTGATGTCATATTGAATTCTAACTCCTGTAGGTGTACCCAAGGGCATGAACAAAACCTGTTCTGTTTTGTCATGGGCGGTACCACACAGGCTCTGGAGCATGTTTTCAATCTGGAGTATGTGACCATTGCAAACCTCCAGTCAATATTGGGAAGCGCTACATCTGTAGCAGCTGTTAAAAAAATATTGGAGCAGATGGGATCTGAAGGCTACATTGAAAGCACAGCCAGCAACAGGAAGAAAGGTCCGTTCTGATCTGAAAATTGTGTCTCTCCAGCAGCTTCCAAATTCACCGATTGCTGACAATGGTCACTCTGCTATACAGGGAGGAAGGTTCTGCGCTCCAAGAAAATTCAGGCTGGGATGCAGGACGAAAAGAATGAGTTAAAAGAAGGCATACACGCCACTTGTCCATCTCCCTCGACAAGGAATCCTCTTGCTGACCAGCTGAAAACCGCGAGCCCTTCTGCAGTGGCTCAGGTTTGCTCGTTGGGTTCGGACATGACAAGGTCTCGAGCAAGGGAAGCGTCAGTGGCTAAGAGCGAAAGTGGCTTCAAGGAACCACCTTCTTTGGCGAAGGTATGCCTCCTCATACAAGCTTATGTTCTCATGCAAAGTCAATCTTATACCTCAGTCTAATTACGGTATGTGTAATCATCTCCTGCAATCAGGACAAGAAGTTATCCAGAAAGGCTCCACCTGAAGTCAGCTCAACAGGCTATGAAAAGATGAAGCTGGGACCTGAACCTGGCTTGCTTGGTGAGCTGGAATTCGTGAAAGAAAGCCAAGACACCATCAACTTCAGCAATCCAAGAATCCGCAAAGCCAGCACGGTAAATAAACAAGTTCCACACATTGGTACTTCTGTGACCTCGGATGCTTATTCTCATTGCTTGGTGCCTTTTGTTTGCAGGTGGTTGAACCAATACAGCAAACATTCAAGAAACAAAGATCATCTGCATCACAGGGACCTGGATCCCGCTTCACAAGATCTTAATGCCACACTGGTGCATTGATGGCAGGAATTGAGCAGGAGCTCTTCCTGAATCTCTGTGATCGTCCATCTGGCAATCTATATAGCTTGGTATGGGCTCGAATGTGGAAAGTGCGTCTTCATCAGTACTGGTGTTTAGTTTGTAGGGTAGAAAGAGAGTAGACACCGTCTAGGTCGCTGAAGCATTTCCTCATCCTCTAGGCTCTCTTCATGAACTAAGTTGAAACCAAGTGAGCTATAGAGCTTTGCTGCTGGATGGTTGCACACTTCTACATGGACATGAACTGATGAAGGTGCCCTCTGCTCCAGCAAGTCGTCTAAAGAAAAAGAGAGCAGCCCACGAGCTATTCCCTGACGCCGCATGACTGGCGCCACACAAAGATTGAATACGTAGGCAGTACCACCAGAAGCAACTTCAGAGAGAGCTTGAGCATGTTGTGACTCCATTCTGTTGGCACTTGGAGGGACATCAGCATCGACTCCTATGGCACGATGGATTGCACGGCCCCATGGCCGTGAGCCCATGTGAGAAAGCTCTTCCGCCATCTGAAGTAAATCACGAATTCAAGAGAGCGGAGAGCATCAGGGTTCACTGAGGTGAGTCTCGACTCGCAAAACAAAAGAAAGGCATCGTGCTTGTGGGTCCATGGCTCTGGAACAGAGGTATATGTATAACTTCCCTGCGGTAGCTGATTCAAAAGCACGGCCAACATGGCGTGCCTATGCTCTACAGGCAAGATCGCGTAAATGAACAAAACGTGAGAGACATCGACTGCACTACTCACATCAATGTCAAGAGTCGCAACAGCAGCATAAACTCCTCCTGGTGCACCATCTGGTAAAGCTGTTAGCGATGAGTCCAGTTGCGGAGGCGTTTGCAGTAAGGAGGTTAAATTCCTCTCTGCAGGAACCGGGACTCTATGCACCATATGTTCCCACGGACAGATGGCGAGATACGTCGAGACATGTGCATTCACTAAACGGAATGAAAGGTCCTGCAGAAATAATAAGGGTCAGGGGGGAAATAATGCTTTGAGGAAGACACAACCATGAGCCGAGCATTTGCAGAACCACAAACTACGTACCCTGTCGAATTCATTCTTAAGACGAAGGCCATACATATCTGCTATTATGGCTTCCTCCATTGCACCAAATGTCCCACTACCGGTGGACTGAGCTTCTGGAATCCCCGTATGCTCCCCATCAGAAGTGCTGTTGGATCGTCTAGAACCAGTAGGGTACTCGTAAAGCAGCTGCGTTCGAAGAGTGGCAGCAGCTAGAAGGTGATCAGGAGCCGATGCACGCATCAGCAGTACGCTTGGTGCACCGCCTTTGCCGCCACCACCGCTGCTGCTGCTGCCGCTGCCGCTGCCGCTGCCGCTGTTGGCGGGCGAGTTTGGTCGAGTGCCTGGAAAGATTTGGCAGTTAACTGGAATGGGGGAGAACCTGGCAGAGGAGGAAAGAACACGTGGACAGGCTAGCGAGGGTGAGGCATGAGAAGCAAGCTAGTGGAACAGACATGTGCCTCTTTCATGGATCTTCCCCTGGTCTGCTCATTCGTCTCACCAGTTGTGTTCAATATGCGCCCTTGTTCGTTGCGTTCCCACTAACATGCCTCGACGCAGTTTGCCAGACATCATTTTTTTCCATGGCGCAGAACTTGAAGCTCCATGTCTCCCATTCCAGGAATTTGAGTCAGTTTCCTTACAGCGAAGACTGTAAACGGTTGACCGATATGATCCGAATGCGGTTTGAGATAAAAGGTGGAATGACGCCATGGTGAGCAGGTGGAGTGCAATGGCGGCACCCCAGTTCCAAGTTGACAGAAAAGGCGACTGTCAACGCCGAGGTTAGTTGTGGAGGAAGGGGGGGGGAGTTGGGGGGGGGGAGGTGATCTGTGTGGTGGACGTGTCCCCTGCGTTCAACTGAATGCGGCTCAGACAGATTGTCTACGTTGTACAGCGGTTCAATACGACAGAAAATTCGGTTGGGTATGGTCTTGAGCAAGTAATAACTTTTTAGGTTGAGGTGCACTTGGTACGCTTTTGAAGGAGATTCAAGGTGAAGTCGTTGTATACAGCTCAAGCAATTACCGTTGTTTGGCGGCAATTGCAGATCTGGCACTTGGGGCTGTGGCAGCGAATCTGGGCGTTGCCATATACCACCAAGCAAAGGGTCTATTGAGCTGGTCTGTACATTAGGCCTCCCTGGCCTCGAGGTATTTTCCAGCTGCCGCCTCAATTCGCCGTTTCTCTCTGCTGTTACGTTTCCTTGTTGGCTTTTTCTTTGCCAGACCAAGGCTTGAGCCGAAGCTGCTTGTAACTTAGCGTCGTGGTGATTTCGGCTTTTCGCCACCATGGACGATCGGAGGAAGAAGCTTGAGGCGCTGGCGCAAGCGCGCCGAGCCGGAATCCCGCCAGCTGCAGCTCCGACGTCGGGCGCAGTCGGCAACCGGAAGGAGGGCCGTTCCAGCTCCGGCAAGAACGGGGGAGATCGAGCGAGCAAGCCAGACAAGAAACATCATTCGGGGGGGAAGGGCAAGGAGGCGAAGAAGCCAAAAAGAAAGGGGTCGGATTACGAGGACGACGACGATGAGGAAAGCGAGGGGTTTGACGGGAGCGAGGAGGAGGATGAGGAGGAGCGGAGGCCGAAGAAGAGTGCAAAGCCTGCCAAGAAACCGAGCAAGCCGGCTCAAAGAAAAAAATCGAAACGAGGCAGCGAAAGCGACGAGGACGAGGAGGAGGACGAGGCGAGCGATCAGAGCGAGGACGAGCGGCTTAAGAAGAAGAAGCGCGGAAGCGGAGGCGGCGGCGGAGGGGGAGGGAAGAAACGGCGTGGGGATGACGACGACGAGGACGACGATCTGGATCGCGTGCGGATTGTGGAGGAGCCGCCTGATTCAGTGGATGCGCGGAACATCCTCCCCAGCCGCACCAGGAGAGGCGGACGAGCTCCGCCTCCGCCTCCTGTGGCAAGAGGAGGAGGAGGAGGAGGGAGCAGTGAGGAGGAGAGTGACGACGAGGATGAGGAGGAGGGGAGTGGTTCTGATGGAGGAGGGGGGGATAGTGACGAAGACAGCGAGTGAAGGCCTCTGGAAATGTAATTTTGCCCACTTGATTGTCACTCACTGCTTTTTTATTTCTTTGTTTTTTTTCCCTAATGTTTTGCATATTAAAAATTGTTTTGGTTTTCTTGTTCTGTTACTCACGCACGTGTCTCTGTTTTTTATCAAGCACGCACTCACCTGTTTGCTACGGTAGCCTCGTTTCCCTGTTTTCTATCTCTTCTTTTATGTCACTTCATAGGTATCAATTGTCGGCCAAATTTCTTGATTGCTCAACCCTACTGTTCCCCATGACTCCTGCGTTCTCTTACCGTACTTCACAGTGCAGGAATGCTGGTAGTTCTGGCTGCATGGACAGGCCAGGACTGAGCCACTGAATGCCGCTTCCCTTGTTACTTCGCTTGTCTAGTACCGTATGCTGTTTTGTTGCCCTGTTTTTTTGTTTGGTGTAGATTGCAAGTTGACTAAAACGACTGACACCAGTTCAGAGAATGTCAGTGCTGACAGTGCACAACTGCTCAAAGGCTTGCACAACGCAAGCATACATGGATGGATGGAAGGCACAGCAGTGACAGCACAGTTGTTGATTGCCCAGTAGAGCCCAACACAAAGGAAGACACAGCACAGTTGTTGATTGTTCAGAGAGGGGAACACCACAGCCATCTTTGTATGTGGAGGACAAATTACTTGTGTGAAGTGTAGCATATAATACAGTCAAATAATTCTACACGGTGCTCCACGGTGGTCTCCTGTTACACCATTCAAATCTATGGTGCTGCACGTTGATGCATTTGGTGCTGCCCTACACCCTCAACCTCCATTGCTCCGTAATTCCTCCTCTTCTCATGCACCCTCTGCTTTTCCCTCTCTGCCCGACCCAGCAAACCATCCTGCTCTTCATCTCCCCCTTCCAGAGCAACAGTGGCTCTAGATCCTGCTGTACCTGGGTCCCTCTTCTCATGCACCCTCCCCTTCTCTCTCTCCGCCTGAACCAACAACCCATCCTTCTGTTCTTTATCTCCCCCTTCCACAGCAACAACGGCTCTAGACCCTGCAGCATGCGCCCTCTCCTTCTCCCTCTTTGCCTGAGCCACCAGCCCATCCTTCCTTTCTTTATGACCCCCTCCCACAGCAACAACGGCTCTAGACCCTGCTACACCTGGGTCCCTCTTCTCATGCACCTTCCCCTTCTTCTTTTCCGCCCGAACCAGCAAACCATCCTTCCCCCCTTTATCTTTCCCTTCCACAGCAACAGTAGCTTTAGACCCTGCAGCACCATGCGGGCCTTTTACCTGGTTCCTTTTACCCTTTACTTGCGCCGTATGAGGAGTAGGGGGTGCTGTTGCCGCATCATTCATAGGCCATATAGTCCACGAAGCAGGGGCCTCGAACGGGGGCGGCGTCTTCCGTTTCTTGTGCGGGTTGACCCACCATTGAGTGAGTGATTGTAACGGGGGAAGAGGAGGGTATGGCGGTGGGGGGGACACGTCCGATGGGGGGAAAGCTGGGAAAGTCTCAGGGGGAGGGGGAGGGGGGAGAAGTTCGGGAGGTGGGGGGAATTCGGGGGGATATGTCCAGGGGGGAGGGGGAGCATCAGGGGGCCAAGTCCAGGGGGGAGGGGGAGCTTCGGGGGGCCAGGTCCAGGGGGGTGGGGGGGCATCAGGAGGCCAAGTCCAAGGGGGTGGGGGAGCGTCAGGGGGCCACGTCCAGGGGGGGGGAGGAGCTTGGGGGGGCCACGTCCAGGGGGGAGGGGGGGCATCAGGGGGCCAAGTCCAAGGGGGAGGGGGAGCTTGGGGGGGCCACGTCCAGGGGGGTGGGGAGGCTTGGGGGGGCCAAGTCCAAGGTGGGGGGGGAGCTTTGGGGGGCCAGGTCCAAGGGGGGGGATTGGTCCAGGGCGGGGGGGTAACAGGGGGCCAAGTCCAGGGAGGGGGAGGGGAGGGCGCAGCAGTCACAGGGGGGGGCTTAGTGGCGACAGGAGGAGGGGTGGTCACCACAGGGGGGGGCTTGGTCCAGGGGGGAGGGGTGACTTTGGGGGGAAGGGGAGGAGGGGGAGGCGGAGCAACTGGGGGTTTACTTGGGGGAGGGAGAGCTGGTTTGGGAGGGGGGAGTGTGGGGGGTGCTGGTGGGGGAAGTTTTGGTGCTGGAGGGGGGAGTTTTGGAGCAGGAGGGGGGGGTTTTGGCAGAGGGGGAGGGGGGAAGGCGATAGGGGGTTTCGGGGGAGGCATTGGTGGGGGCATGAGAGGAGGGGGGGGCATGAGCCCTGGGGGCTGGGCTGTGAAGTTGAAGAAGCGTACACCAGTGGTGCCTGGGGGGGCGGAGGTGGGGGGGCATGGCAAGAGGGAGCGAACACGTGTGAGAACATGGGGTTTCAAGACGGGATTCAACGGAGGGAAAGGGTAGAGAAGCGGCAGGGGAATGGGGGGCAGAGGGAGGGAAGGGAGGGAAGGGAGGGAAGGGAGGGAAAGGGAGAGGAATGTGGTATTGCAAGGTTGATTGATAGGAGGTGGTGACTTACAGTTCATGTCTGCCCATGATATGGTGTTGTCCTTGTAGTTGTATATTACCATCTTGTTGCGCAGGAATGACTCTGATGCATGCATGCACCCATGCACACGTGCACCCATGCACACGTGCAGATGTGCACACATGCACACACAGGTACATGCACACACACAGAGGCATGCACACAAACACACACACATGCATCCAAACAGACATACACATATTCCCAAACACACACACACAAAGACACGAATGAGTCCCAGGACAAAAACCGAGACAACCAAGAACAGAAGCAGGCATCCAGCTCGTTCCACGCATGCACTGCAACAGCCATAGCAGCATTGCACGGCAGCCATAGACCCGCTGCATCCAGCACGCGCTGCCCTATGCTGGTGCGTACCGCCAATGGTGGTGCGGCTGTCAGTGGTCTCTGCTGCCGCCAGACACAACTTGCCCGTCGTGATGTTCTGCCCGCACACCGCACACCGCACACAGGGGGGAGATGGGGCGGGTGGGTGGACAAGGCAGGATAGCAAATCTTTGAGTCGACTAAAACATGGTGGTGCGGTGCAGCGGCTGTCAGTGGTCTCTGCTGCCGCGAGCGAGACGCATCTTGCCCGTGGTGATGTTCTGCCCGCATACAGGGGGGCGTGGTTGTGCGTGGGTGGATGAAGCAGGATAGCAGGTTGGATGCAGCAGCAAGGGTATGGTCATGTGCATGGGGTGTGGTTGTGCGCATGGGGTACGTTTTGGAGTGCCTGGCATGCAGTGGGGGGACGTGAGGCAAGTAAGAGAGCGGTAACATAATAGAACAGAACAGGCAAACACGGTGAGGAAAAGAGAAGCGAGCGAGGGCGGGAGAGCGATGGAGGAGAGGGAAGTGACTGAGGGAGCAAACGTAAGTGAAGGAGGGAAAGTGAGTGAAGGCGGGAAAGTGAGAGAGGATGGGAAAGGGAGGGAGGGCGAGGGCGAGGGCGAGGGCGACGGCGACGGCGAGGGGGGGAGAGTACCGCGATGAGGTAGGACTGGGGCAGCACGTAGAAGATGACGTTGTTGGGGAAGACGAGCTGCATGTTGGGGAACTGTGGGTAGAATAGCTCCGGCTTCTTCCTGCTCTCACCCGTGCGGGTGCGGATATGGGGGGTAGTACGGGAGGTAGGGTTTGGGAGATACAGAGGAGGGAATTTGAGAGAGCGAGCGAGCAAGGAATATGGTGATTACTGAAGTGCAATGGCGGGAGGGGGTGCAGATGTGTCTGGATGTGTAGGTGTGTGTGTACATGGATGTGTGCATTTGTGTGTACACGCGAGCAAGAGGAAAAAGCAGGACAAGCAGGCAGGCAGTAGACGGGCAGGCAGTAGGCGGGCAGGCAGCAGGCAGGTGGGGACGGCAAGGCACTGACTGCTTGTAGGGCGCGCCCTTCCAGCAGATGAGTCCGAAGGTCTTGGAGTTGCCCTTGTCGTATGTCAGATTGGGCATCAGCCCCACCAGCTGCACGCACGCATGGGTAGGAGGACAGGAAGACATGGAGGGAACTTTAAGTCGACTCAAAAGTCATCAGCAGATGAGTCCGAAGGTCTTGGAGTTGCCCTTGTCGTATGTCAGATTGGTCTTAAGTCCCACCAGCTGCGCGCGTGCAGGCACAGGGTGGAAAGGCATGGGAGGGAAAGGCATGGGGGGGAAAGGCATGGGGAAGAGAGAAGGCATGGAGGGAAAGGCATGAGGGGGAAGGCATGAGGGGAAAGGCATGGGGGGAAAGGGGGTGAAACAGATGCTGTCCGCAAGGGTGAGAATGAGGCAACCATAAACACATCAGGTGTCACTCACACACAGCCCAGCACCACACCCCATCCGCACCACACCCCATCCGCACCACACCCCATCCGCACCACAACACACCACACCACACCCCAACCCCACCGCACCGCACCGTTTCATTAATGGCGAGCAGCGCAACGGGCGGCAAGCGAGTCACAGTAGTAAACGGGTCCACCACCACCCCCCCCTCCGCCTTCCCCGTCGGCTTCCCAAACGTGCCCGGCGGCACGTTCACCACCTTACTCCCCACGCGCACCTCCCCCAGGTCCACAAAGAACATGGGACTTGGAAATATGCGGCGCATGGGGATGGTATCGCTGTACCCGTCGATCAGCGCGTCTCCTAGGTTGAGGTACGAGCCGCCCTTGAGCCCCATGTCGCCCTCGAAGCACAGCCCGAAGCTGTTCTCCCACAGGCCCAGGTCCGCCATTTGCGAGAGGATGCTCAGCTTGCCCCACCCGAGGCCAAACACCCCGTCGGGGACCTCTGTGTAGCCGCCCAGAGCGCCCTTTTGTACCATGCCGCAGCTGTGCGTGTGGTGGAAGGAAGGGTGGGGATTGGGAAGGAAGGGAGAGACGCGGAGAAGGGGGGAGAAGAGGGGGAGAGAAGAGGGGAGAAGGGATTCGGATGGGGGCTTTGAGCCCCATGTCGCCCTCGAAGCACAGCCCGAAGCTGTTCTCCCACAGGCCCAGGTCCGCCATTTGCGAGAGGATGCTGAGTTTGCCCCACCCGAGCCCGAACACCCCGTCGGGGACCTCTGTATAGCCGCCCAGTGCGCCCTTTTGTACCATGCCGCAGCTGTGCGTGTGGTGGAAGGAAGGGTGGGGATGGGGAAGGAAGGGAGAGACGCGGAGAAGTGGGGAGAAGAGGGGGAGAGAAGAGGGGAGAAGGGATTTGGATGAGGGCTGGGAGCCCCATGTCGCCCTCGAAGCACAGCCCGAAGCTGTTCTCCCACAGGCCCAGGTCCGCCATTTGCGAGAGGATGCTGAGTTTGCCCCACCCGAGCCCGAACACCCCGTCGGGGACCTCTGTGTAGCCGCCCAGTGCGCCCTTCTGCACCATGCCGCAGCTGCGCGTGCGTTGGGGGGTGGGGGTGAGTGGGGAGAGAAGGGAGAGAGAGGGGGAGGACAGGGGAAAATGAGGATAAATGGAGAGAGGAGGGGGGGACAAGAGGATAGAAAGGATTCGGGGCGTGAAGGGGGCTTTGAGCCCCATGTCGCCCTCGAAGCACAGCCCGTCGGGGACCTCTGTGTATCCGCCCAGTGCGCCTTTCCGCACCATGCCGCAGCTGCGCGTGCGTTGGGGAGGAGGGGAAGGGGGAAAGAAGGAGGGAGACGAGGGAGATAGGGGGAAAAGGGGGAGAATGGGGGTAAACGGGGAGAAGACGGGGGGAGTAGAGGGGAGAAGGGTTTTGGCCCGCCTAATGTTGCATGTGGCATGAGAGCCCCATGTGGCAAGAGAGCCCCATGTGGCATGAGAGCCCCATGTGGCATGAGAGCCCCATGTAGCCCGAAGCCGAGGGTGAGACGGGGTGGGGGGAGGGAGGATAGACGAAGGTATGGCCGGAAGGAGCTGTCAGTCATTGAGAAACCTGAGAAGAGAAGCTCGTTGTAAGGGGACTGAACTGAGGAAAACAAATTGCACCAGAATTCCCCACTCGCCCCTCTTCCTCAGTCCCAGTCTCCCCCCCCCTTCTCCACCCCTTTCCTCCCCAACACCATCTTGCACCACCCCCACTCCCACCCCACACCCCCCCCCCCCCCCCCCCCTCCCCCGTGCCTCCCCCCTTAACTCACCCGACAACGAGCTCGGGGCTGACGGTCCAGCCGTCCATGTGTGTCAGCCACACGTTCTCCGGGTAGAATCTTTAATCCGACCCCAAAACCCTCCCCCACACTCTCCCCCCTCCCCCCTGCCTCCCCCCTCAACTCACCCGACAACGAGCTCGGGGCTGACGGTCCAGCCGTCCATGTGGGTGAGCCACACGTTCTCCGGGTAGAAGATGCCGTAGCTCTTGCCCACCTTGGTGCCGTCCTTGTTCGGCAGGCTGCCTATGGACCCTAGAGGCGACCTCACGATGGTGTGCAGGTGCAGGTACTCGCACTTGCCCTTGCACAGGGCCGATGGGATCTGATCTGCTACCTGGCGATAGGGATAAGGGCAGTGGGAGAGGTGGGAGGGGAGGGTGGGGAGGCAGCGGGAGGGGAGGGAGGGGAGGGAAGGATGGGGGAGACGGAGTGGTGAGTGTGGGGCATGGGCAAGTGCCGTCATTGTTGGGCAGACTGCCTATGGACCCCAGCGGCGACCGCACGATGGTGTGCAGGTGCAGGTACTCGCACTTGCCCTTGCCCAGGGCCGACGGGATCTGGTCTGCCACCTGGTGTTTAAGAGGCGGGCGGGGAGGGGAGGGGCGGGGCGGGGAGGGGAGGGGAGGGGAGGGGAGGGGAGGGGAGGGGAGGGGAGGGGAGGGGAGGGGAGGGGAGGGGAGGGGAGGGGAGGGGAGGGGAGGGGAGGGGAGGGGAGGGGAGGGGAGGGGAGGGGAGGGGAAGGAAAAGGAAGGATGGGAGGAATGGTGAAGGAGGGCAAGAGCAGAGAAAGCGAGTATGGGGCAGAGAGAGGCGTCAACTCTCGTCCTAAGTGCGGGCACTGCCCACCCACCCACCCACCCACCCATCCACCCCAGCAGTACCCAGCAGCACCCAGCAGCACCCAGCAGCACCCAGCAGCACCCAGCAGCACTATGCTTCTCCCACTTCCTGCCCTTGCCCGTGTGCCTTTCCCATGCCTTGCCCGTGCCTTACACACTCCAGCCAAACGCCCTTCCAGAAGGAGCGGCGAACCTGGCAGCCAACTCTGAGGCCGGGTCTCAGAGTTGGCTGCAACAACTCTGAGGCCGGGTGCAGGCCGGTCGGTGGTGTTGCAGCACGTGTCCTTTTGAGTCGACTCGCCTCTCAAACAAGACAGTTTCCAGCCAGCCCCCTCACTCCCCCCCTCCCCTCCCTCCCCCCCTCCCCGCCCTCCCCCCACCCCCAGGCGGAGCAGCGGACCTGGCAGCCGATCTTGAGGCCGGGTGCGGGGCGGTCGGTGTTGTTCTTGCATGTGTCTGCATCGCACAGCACTGCTGCCGCCCCGTTCTCCGTTGTGTTGTACGGCGGCCGCTCCTGCTCCCACACAACATGCACCGTGGAGGGGTGAAGAGGGAGGGGGGAGTTTTGAGGCGCGTCAAAAGGTGTTGCTGCGGCATGTGTCGGCGTCACACAGCACTGCTGTAGCCCCGTTCTCCGTTGTGTTGTACGGCGGCCGCTCCTGCTCCCACAGGCCATGCGCCGCGGAGGGGTAGAGAGTGAGGGGGGGGAGGGGGGAGCTGTGAGGCGCCTCAAAAGGCGCTGTTACGGCATGTGTCCGCAGATGACTTTTGAGTTTGAGTCGACTCAAAAGTCACACAGCACTGCCGTCGCCCCGTTCTCCGTCGTGTTGTACGGCGGCGGCTCCTGCTCCCACACAACATGCACCGCGGAGGGGTGGAGAGGTTGGGCGGGGAGAGGGGAGGGGACGGGAGAGGGAGGGGGTGAAGGGGAGCGGCGAGGTAGGGCATGGCATGGTATAGCAGCAGGCAACGGTGCTGCGGTGGGCGGCACGGCAAGTACAGTACAGGGCGGAAGGTGGCAGGTTTCGATTAGGATTCTTGAGCACCGACCAACTAGGCACGACATGGGACGTACGGGCAGGACGGTGCCGGCAGTGCGGCAGGACTTTTGGGACGTCTCAAAAGGATTTTCATTAGACTCTTGAGCACCAACCAACTAGGCACAGCACGACACGGCACGTACGGGCAGGATGGTGCCGGCAGTGCGGCAGGAGGTGGGGGTGACACAGTCGCAGGTGAACCAGGTGACGGGCGTGAGGTTGTCCAGACGCAGGTAGAACAGCTGCTTGCGCGGGCCGAAAATGAGGCCTATGAAATAGGAGGACCTGATGGGGGGAGGGACGAGGGGAGAGGGGAGAAGGGGGAGAGGGGGGGGAGGGGGAGGGGGGAGATGGGAGAGGGGAGAGGGGATGCGAGGGGTGAGATGGGAGAGAGACTGGTTGAGCATTACCCGCCTTTCCCCACTCGCACCCCATGCTGTGATCCCATCCCATCCCATCCCGTCCCATCCCATCCCATCCCATCCCGTCCCATCCCATCCCATCCCATCCCGTCCCATCCCATCCCATCCCGTCCCATTCCCATCCCATCCCATCCCATCCCACGGCCACTGCGCACCTCTTCAGTCAAGCCCTAGTGCGTGTGTGGTCTAGGAGCTTAAACCCCACCACACACGGTCACACCATCACAACCCACAATCAAGCACTGCAGAATAACGAGCCACCCCGGAAGGCTCCGTGCCCAGTGCCAGTCACCCCCACGAAACCCCCCAGTGTCCCCCCAGTGTCCCTCCAGTGTCCCCCCAGTGTCCCCCCAATGCTCCCCAGTGCCCCAGTGCGTGCCCTCCCAGTGTTCCTCCCCAGTGCCCCCCCTGCGCGCGCCACATCCCCTGTGCGCGCTAGTGTTCCCCCCCCTGCGCGCGCCCACCGGTTGAGGCTGAAGGAGCCCTCTCGCAGCAGCTTCTGGCACTTGCGCAGCTTGGGCGCTGGTGTCACTGCCTGTGTCGTGGCCTGGCGGGGGGCACGGCGCAGGGGGCAAAGCGCAGGGGGAGGCGCAGGGGGAGAGGCGCAGGGGGAGGTGCAGGTGGGGAAGAGGATGGGACGGGGGAGAAGTTTGGGTAGGGGAAGGGTGAGGAGAGGGGGTGGTGTGGCGGAAGCAGTAGGGGGATTCGTGTGTGATGAGGGTGACACTATGCAAGGCACATGATCGTTTGTGTGACACGACATGACAATCAATCATGCCACTTGACATGGCAGACAATG